CCCAGTCATACAAATAGTCATGTTTAACTTTACTACTGTGAGTAGGCCCATTGAAAATGTAAACACATGAAAGCATTTCATGGGCTGGGGAGTTAAGTTTGAGTAGGTGAATGACTACAAAAGTAAAAAAAAAAAAAATTACTATTTTAAAAGGAAATGGTATATCTTAAAGGATATTATAATAAACTGTTAAGGTCTGGTACATTGTTTATACCCAAGTTTAAGTATATAGCATTAGACTGACTTCAAAAATAATCTAAGAGTGGGAGTAATTTGGGGGGTTGCTGAGTTCTATTCCTGCTTTGTGCAAATTCTCATTGTATTGAGTTTGCTGTAAGCATTAGAAGTAGAATTGTGAAGTGAATAAATCTGACAGGATCCCTTAGTGATACTCGGATCTCAGTGGTGCAGGAGCCAAATTGTAAATCAACATTAATAACAAGAGCTACAGTAGTGTGAATTGTTTCATTTACTGTAATCTAGTATATATTTTAGAAATGTGCATCTGACTCTATCCATCTATGAATGTTTGTTCAAGAACTCTTCCTCACTGGTAAGAAAGCTAGGACCACCAAATTGGTATGCAGCTTTCTCTTAACATAACTTAAAGCAGAGTCAGGGTTCAGTTATGCAGGAATCATGGGATGTGCATGGAATTTGATGGCTTCTCTTAAAATGGAAAGGGGGAGGGACCGTTATACTGCAGAAGGAATGCAGGGAAGGGCCAGAGATGGGGACTGGGAGTGCATTGGTTTGGGCATTTGGCCAGCAGGGGGCAGGAGTAGAGAAAGGGACAGCTATCTACTGCAGTATTTCTCAACCTTTTTTAACAAAGTACCCCTTCAAAAAAAAAGTACCCCCAGTACCTACAGTCTTCAGTCACACACTTTTTTTCTACCATTGCAACACATTTATTTAAATAACTTAATTCATCGCCCACCTGGCTACAATTTTTGGATGTAAAGTACAAAAACAAAGCGCTGTAAAACTTAAAACAAGCATTCCATTTTCTCCAAATGTTAGTTGTGTTGACATGCCCCCCAGATTTCTCTAGTACCCTTAAGAGTACTCATACCATTGGTTGAACCTCTCTAGTCCAGCACCTTTGGGACCTGATGGTGCCGAACCAGAGAATTTGTCGAACCACAGGAGGTCAATATTGTCTAGCTGCATTACTAACACTTCCTTTTCTTACTGAGCTCTTATAAGACATTTGGGGCAAATAACAGCTAAATAACAGCACAGAAAACTGAGCCAGAATTGTTGGCTGTAAAACTTTATGGGACCATGGGAAATTTGGCCACTCCCATGAGAAGTGGCCATCCGGCTAATTGAAAACATGTTTGACTGCAGATGTTCCTGGACAAGGGTGTTGGACTAGAGGGGCTCAAAATGTACATTTCAGAGTGTGTGTGTGTGTCTGTCCACTAGCTGGGGGGGACTGACCCCTTCCCCAGCTGTGCTTGCTGTAACATTGAGGGGGCTGGGATAGTCCTCTCTTCCTACATACTGAACCCCTCATCCTCATCCCTACCCCAGAGCAATGACTTAAATGAAGAAAAACAAAAATTAAGGACTCAAGCAATGCCAGGTAAATATAATACTAGCTATTTGTATTGAATAGCATAATGAGAAATACTTAAAAATGAGTAGTCCTGTGGCACTTTAGACTACATATGATCATGAGCTTTTGTGGGCAAGATCCACTTCATCAGATGAGTTGGAGTAGAAATAACAGAATCCAAGATCTATCGAACAGCCAGATAAGTACTTGTAAATTGTAGGACCTATGTTAGTGAAGCTAATTAAAGGGGCTGACATCCCATTCATAGCTTTATGAATATTTACTGTGTTTGTATAATGATTCACAAAGCAAAATGAGTGACCAAGTGTTATCAATTACAGTTGGCTAAATTCATAGGAGAAGCATTCTTCTTAGTTGTGAATGTGGAATAGTAATTAAATCACAGTGTTAATACCATGTGCAGCAAAGAGGTGCAGGAGACATGTTAGAGCCCCTTGTGACTAGCAAGGCTGTCTGAGTACCACTGGGGTAGATGATACCTGCCTGGCATAGGGCCAAAAGGATTTGTCTCCTGTGTTGGGTATCCTCTAAAATCCTAGCAGTGATTTCAGGGAGTGCAACTTCATGAGTGTTTTACTATAGCTTACTGTACAATGAAAGGCACTAGTTTTTGGTGTGGTCTCTGAAGAAACATGCAATTTGCAGTAAGTATACTTCCTAATCAACTGAACAGTTACTAATCCCCTCAGACAAATGAATGCAGGACCCCAGATTATATAGAAGGGGAAAATTACAAAGTAAATACTTCCATGCCTCTGAAGCAACACAATAAAGGGTTTATCCCCCTCTAGGGAAGGAGGGTTGGAATTGGGGTGCTGGAGCCAAAGGGCATCTCCTATATTTGTATTATCGTATTATCTCATGGATTCTCTGAAGTAAAGGCATCTTAGGACATCCACAGGAGGGTCTTCATTGTGCCCTGTGGTGGCATGCTCCCTTCAGGAGCCATGTAGTTGTTGGCACAGGTAAATATTTGATGCATTGTCATTCTTACCCCTTCAAGTGAGGTAAAAGGGGGAAGGGGGGATGACTAGGAGGTCAGTGCAGTAGTTCTTGTCACAATAGGTCTTTGCTTGTGTCTGGTCTTGAGACCAGCTTATGCAGATCCACATTTTCTAATAACTGGCAGAAAAAAAGCCAGTGGGGTAGGTGGCTGAATTACAATTTTCCTATCAACGTTGGGGAGGGAATGCTTTGCAACTTTAACAAAAATAAAATTAATCCGCTTCTTTTCTCAGCTATACAGCAAAAGTGTCTTATCTATAAACTCATCAGCCTTTCAGCATAGCTACTTAACTTTGATAGTCATACGATGACTTTCATGCTGCTGTGGCTTTCCATTTTGGTTTAGTGTTTATACACCTACTGAATTATCTGCTGAAAGGGGAAAGTGAGCATATCTATACACAGAGTACCTTCATTTAATTGTGGTTGCAAGGTTACTTAAGTGACTTCCCTGATGTATAGAATTAGTGTTACATCACAAACTCCACAAGATGGCAGTAAGTCAAATACAATAGAATATTGCTAATTGGGATTAATATCTAGGAGATCTGTTGCAAATGTTGAGAGTGGCAAGAGAACAAACATTAAAAAATAATTATGCATTATGAAATGCACTTGGTTACTTTGGTAGCCTCTGTCCCAAAGAATTTAGACTAAAGGATAAACATACAGAAAACAGGAACACATTGAAGAATCTGAGTTGAGGAATTGATTAGGATGTCCATGTCCTAAAACCTCAGATTTTCATGTATTTGGTGTCCAGTTAGTACAATAATACAACTAAGGTTGGAGTTCCTATGTGCTAGGCACTGTACAAAACCAGTCCTGACGGGGTCTGCTCCAAAGAGCATGCCATCTAATTACATGAGACATGAGGCTGGAGAAGGAAAATTTTACTCCTGTCTTAGGTGGGGAACTAAGGCACTGAGTTTGACTTGCCCAAGCTTGCAAAGTTTGGGCCAGAGCTGGGACCTGTACTGTGACTCCGTTTTGTGACTTACCCACTTGTTAACAATTTCAGTGTCTACTCGTGCAGATGTTCAGGGATGGAATGTTGGAGAATGACTCTTCAGGAGCATAAGTGGCAGCTTAAATACCTCTTGGTTGTGCTATGCCTGGCTCTGGTCAATACGTAGCTTGTTTTCATTTA